CATTCAAGAAACCTCAAATGCCTACAAACCTAAGAAGATATAGGTATACTTTAAAACCTTAGATGACATCAGCCTCAAAAGATACATAATCTTTCTTTATATAAAGAACATGTGTTAACTTTGATTGTAGTTTTTTACTTATTCAAGAAGCTAAACATTCATATAAAAATTTTAGAAGGCAAAAATCTAAGAAGAATTTGATGTCACTATGCTTCTAATAAGGGGTAATATCTCAATTAAAATGTATTAGATTTCTAATAAAACTTATAATGACCTTGTCTTCTTTGAGGAGCAAGTTATAGGGAATCAACCTTACTACATGAAGATCAATAATTTATCAAATATTAACATTATGAATTTTAGTCAAGCTCATTCATTCAAAAGAAGTCTTATCTTAAAATAATATAGAAAGTTATTGGATTTACTTGCGATCAGTATTCGCTACAATAGCATCACTAATTATTTTTTGGGATTTTCTATTGCCTTCAAAGTTCTCCTCGGCTTCCATCAGTTACTCTTTTTCTTTGAATTTTATAATAAAAATGAAACATATATCTCAACTACATTTCATTTTAAGAGATAACATGATCAACACTTCTTTCAACGAAAGATTAGGGTTTTATTATTACGAGTCTTAATTACAGTATTTATGAAAAAAAATCGCCTAAATTTTGGTAAACAATAATATCTTCAAGGTAGGTAGCAACTGTATGATTTTGGATAGGCAACAACTATTTGAATTTGTGTAGAAAACAACAATCTGATGAAATTAGACAACCACTAGCTATAGGCAAGCCAACCATAGCCTGTAGAGGAGTTGTGTGACTTCTCTCCTCCTCAATAGACGTATTTATAGTAAAAAATAAGAAAAAGGATGAACAATTTTGAATTTTGGAGGCTCGTTCAGGAAGTGGTGGCTAAGGAATATCAATTGTTGATTGTTGATAAGCATCATTTGATAAAACATGGGGAAAAAAATGGTCAGGTGGTATGCGCTCATTCTTATACAATTTTTCTTGTAATTTGCATACTGGTCAATTTGGAACATGGGTGTTGGACTTAGTTGGCTAAGAAAATTCAAACTGTTATGACTGATTGACTTAATTTTTTAACCAATAAGAGAGAAAGTTAATTGGCCAATGAGACTAGCATTGGACATCATTGATGGCAATTGCTAATATGTTTCTAATGATTATCTACTGAAAAATCTAATAAATAAGATGGTCAGTAATCTACTTGATTGTTGTTCTAATATAAAAGAAAATTAGATGGCTAGTAAGGTCTGGATTAGATGTCATTAGCCAGTTGAAATCAAATTTTGGTTGTTGGTAAACATTGGGTGACATTCAATAAGAAATTGATGTGATGTCGAACAAATAACTTAGCCATTCTACTATAAAATAGGAGATTGAATGACTAATAAGATGTCATTAGCCAGTTGAAATCAAATTTTGGTTGTTGGTAAACATTGGGTGACATTCAATAAGAAATTGATGTGATGTCGAACAAATAACTTAGCCATTCTACTATAAAATAGGAGATTGAATGGCTAATAAGATGTTTAACAAACTTAGGTGACTCATTGATGTTTGGCGGCTAACTTAATTCTTCTCATGATAGAAAATTAGGCAATCAGTATGTTGGGTTTCAAATATCAGTTGACAATAAAGGCTAGATATCTGCTATTGGTAGAAATTGGACATTGATTAATGAGGAATATTAGAAGGCAAGCAACAACTAGCATCATCAGTAACTAACATATGGAGCGGGGTGGTGGCGATAATTAGGGTTGCAAATAAATCGAGTCATGAGTAAGAGCTTACTCAAACTTGAGTTTGTTTGTTGAATTCTAGCTTGATCTCAGTTAAAGTAAATTTTTCATTGTTTAAGCTTGATTCATTTAACTTCATGACTATTTATGTTTTGTTTGAGCACGAATATTATCAAATCAAATTAATAAACAATACCAACAAGAACTTGGTTAGTTAACTAAGCAAATCTTATTGATCTTACCAGAAAACAAATTTATTGATATTCAAACGAAATGTTGATTAAATATGCATTTTAATAAGCATGAACACGTGGCTCGTTGTCATGAACAAGAGCAATCTAATAAGAGAAAGATTAAGACTCCTGCATAACAAACTATTAAATCGACTATCTTAAATGAATACGCCATTGAACTTTAACCAAGCTTCTTAATAGACTCATTCACCAGCTTTAAATGATATTATTCTTGATCATAGATAAATCGACTATTAAGTTGCACTTGCGTGTTAATTTATCAATGGGTTTTTTCCTATAAGTATTCATGCTCGGTCAATTAGTTTAAGCTCTAACTAAGACGTGTCATAGAATAGGTTATGGAGTGTGTATTGGCTCATTTTCAACCTTAGCAATGATAAGCAAAATCTCGATAAACAATAGATGTCAAGCAGAAACAATGACAATACATCGATATTTATCGACGATTGACCCGAGCGACATATGATGAGGGACTTCAATGTTAGTTTACAATAATATGTGAGTAGTTTATTAATGACTATTTTTCATGCATTGAA